ATACTTAAGCATTCCAAAGATATTACCAAATTTGTCCTTCCTCCAATTTTAAAAACTATGACCAAGAAGAGATTTGGCCAAAATTCTGAGGAAAGACAGTCTTAAGAAAAAACCCCATCCAGTGACGTAGCTGTGAGGCCGAATTTATCAAAGCTCTCTGTTTTAAGAAACAAATTCTCTGTTTTAAGAAACCATCTTACTTCTTCCCTTACCTTTATCTATCCGTGTGAGCTGTTTAAGTTGTGTAACTACTTACCAACATGTTTGTTGTTTTAGCAGTTTGTAAACATCCCTAAATGTCAGGAATTGCATATGTTTTAATGGCCTGTCCTCATGACAGCTGTCCACGATTAATTTGACATAATTGAGGAGTATGACAAATTTATAAACACTTGTGGAATGTCAGTAGCAATGTCAGTAATAATAAAAACCAATAAACTCCATGCTGAAAATGACATTATCATAATGTTGCATTATTAGATGATACCACTCCAGTGACAGGGCTTGAGCCAGCACTAAATCACCAAAAAAAAAAGAGCAAAGCAAAAGTAAAACGAATAAGCAGCCACAAAAAGACAGGGCGATGAACATTTTATGTTGAACTGATACAGCAAAGAGAAGTAGTATTGAAAATTTCACATTGGTTTCCAGATGATGATGGGAAAAGAATATATTTAATACTATAAAAAGAAGGCCTTTAGCTGGAGGGCCTTCCCCCCCCCCCCCCCCCCCCCCGTTATGAGGCTGTTGAAAATATGAAAGATTAAGCAAAATTTTATTGCAATAACAAAATGGAAGTTTTCAAAGGATTACACAAAATTTTACTTTCTGGGCTGTTGTCAACATGGTGTGAAAGCATGTGAGACAGCAGTGATTTTCAATAGGGCATTGCTGTGTTTTCTTGCTTGTATTAGCACATAAGATCTTTTTTGAATCACAGATATTATTTAAAATTGCTGCTCTTCTCTGTCTGGGACAGAGCTGTTTCAGGCATTGATTGCTGAAAGATCATCTGCTGCCTGTGGATAGACTAGCACAAATCAAAGTCAACATCTGTGCTTGGATAATCTTAACCCATTTTCTGTTCTGTTACAATAGGAGCGTATGCTATCTGCCTCTGTTAAGCATGCATTGAGATAAATGGGATGGTGCAGATCAGAATAGTGATTCAGACTGCTGTTAGGTAGGAAGATCCTCTAGGTGGCAATAGGAAATGAATTATTGAGTATGGTTTTCCTACTTACTGCTTCTGTTGCAAACTTCACTTCTACAGAATCACACCTTCTTTCCCTAGCTGTTGAACTGTGTGAGAGGGGGAAACATTCACCTGCAGCTTCTGTATATACTCACATAAAAAAGCAAATTTTGGTATATTACAGAGCGTGATAATGGAAGTATTATGGCATGCTTCAGAACTGCATTTCCTTTGTAACAGAAATCATTGGGTCAGGCTGGCAGCATAATTTTTTGGTAATGAATCCTGTGCGTGGTTCACTTAAGTGTTAAACTGCAGAAAAACCCCTTATATATTCCTTGTCATGCTTTTTTCCTCTGTTACAGAAATGAGGCACGCTCCTTTGATGTTATTCTCCTCCAGCAGAATTAGCTGGGAATAGGTCTTTATGCCCCATTTTCTGTAAGGAAAGGACACTTGTGGACTCTGGCCGTTTGGCAGGTTGAAGTTTGTTTTAATCACTTTAACAGTATCAGAACTCAGTGAAGTAATTACTCACAGAAGTAGTATACTGCTGTCCAGAAGACTAGTGCAAAGCCTTTGCATTACTTAAATTTTCTTTAAATCTTAAGAAGAGAGCTTATGTGCAACTGAATTGGTACATAAATTACATTTATTGCCATTGCCTGTATAGTGAGTTGTATTTAGAACTACATTTCTCAAAAGGCCAAACCTTCGTTCATTTTTAACTAGTCCTCTCTTTCCTACTTTGCTTCCCTCCTTCCATAGGTGAATATACTATGCATAAATGTGCATTATTTTGCATAGAATATATATATTTGCATCATATTACATAAGCACACGGTCTGTTTTCCCTTAACACCCACTTCAGGCATTCAGCATTTCCATTTCATACCTAACTATTCTATGTTCAGCTCTATTCATTCCCCAGCCTTTCTATCCACCCACTCAGTCCTCAGACTCAATCCCATTCCCTCTGCTAGCTCACTCAACACACATTCACCTGTTTGTTTTACATACGCCATATACCCCCTAATTGGAGATACTTGTAGCAGCTCCATCTGCATGTTTACCCTTCCTCTGGTCTTTTGTACAACAGAAAGAGGATGCTGGTATGTGTATGTGTGTGGGAGGTATTGAGAAGGGGAGGGAGCCGAGCTAAGGAGGACCTAGTACATATACATGTATTTATAGTGGGACAAAGTATGTGAAGAAAGACAAAGTATGCCTGGCAAAGGCAGTGCAGGAGGGCATACTGCACAGGAATGCTGCAAGTCCAGAGACTGGTGGCCAGGTTGAACGTGGGAAACAGGCTTTATTCTTGCTACTGCCTTCTCTCAGGAGGCTGCAGGTGTAGGGTGGAGGTGCAGCTGCGCCCAGTCTCTTCCTTCTTTTCTGCCTTGCCCAAGGAGCATGCAGGGGCTGGGATTGCAGCACAGGCTCTGCAGTCCTGATGGAGAAAAGGAATTCCACCCGTCTGCCTTCAACAGTGTCAGTCACTGGATGTACTTGGGTGAATATGGAAATATGAGCTCCTTCCTGTCCCCATCAGGGGTTTTGTTACTTCTTGGCTCTCTCCCTCGCACCCTCAATACGTTGCACATAATAATCCCTAGTTTAAGTGCCACCTATCTCAAATAGGTTAAACTCCCAACACCATTCATTTTTGCTCAGGGGCCCCAACTTGAGAAGGACATGGACCTGTTAGAGGAAGCCCAGAGGAGGCCACAAAGATGATCTGAGGGATAGAGCACCTTTACTATGGAGACAGGTTGAGGGAGTTGGGCTGGAGAAGAGAAGGCTCCACAGAGACCTTAGAGAAGCTTCCACTGCCTAAAGGGGGCCTACAGGAAATCTGGAGAGGGGATTTTTACAGGGGTGTGTAGTAGTAGGACAAGGGGGAATGGCTTTAAACTGCAAGAAGGAAGATTTTGGTTAGATATTAGGAGTAAGTTCTTCACAATGAGGGTGGTGAGGCACTGGCACAGGTTGCCCAGAGAAGCTGTGGCTGCCCCATCCCTGGCAGTGTTCAAGGCCAGGTTGGATGGGGCTTGGAGCAACCTGCCTATGTCAGGGGGGTTGGAACTAGGTGATCCCTTCCAACCCAAACCATTCTATGATTCTATGATTTTGTAATTCAGTTTTAACCCACCATATAGCACAGTGTGTTCATGCATAGTTTTTAGTATATTTTAAAATTATCTGTGCATCAGTCAGTTTTGATTATTTATGCCATTGATCCTGAGGAGCTGTAACTCTGGTTACACCCACACTGAATGCTAAATGTAAAGTGCTTTGACACTCGGGAGCTCTAATTTCCCTATCAAGACATCTGTCATTCAAAGGATAAGTAGACTTGGCATAAGGCATTTATTTATTGCTTACCTGTTTTAATGGCTCTAGATGTCTAGGCAGAGCTTTATTTAGGAAAAGGTTGGTGGCATAAGCATGATCATTATTCTAAAATAAAAATAAAAAAATAAAAAAAAATCCACAAAAAAACCCCAGAAACATACCAAAGGTGTTTAAACTACAGCAAAGCCATTAAATAGTCTAGTTTAGGGAAGGGGAGGAAAGTATTCTATAATAAAGAAATCTAAGAGCACATATTTGACAGAGATGGTAGTACTATGTTACTGTGCAAAACATGAAAAAACTTTATCAAAGGCTTCCCTTTCTCCTGAAGGTTTTTTCTCTGGTTTTAGACTAACCAGTAAGATTTAAAGGTTGGTCACTTTAAAAACTGGCAACAGCGACATACATCAAACAGTGAAAGAATTCGTAACTCAGACTATTGGAATAGACTGTGTGAACCTTGGTTCAGTAGCCACAGGCAAAGTTTAGTTTTAAAAACTTACTTTGTTTTGCTGAATGCTCTCAGAATGAAGCATACACAGGAAGTGTTTCTTTGGTGATTGAGTTATACTGAATATATGAATGGATGAAGTATGTCTGACCTGATAAACTGAATTAGTTTGTAAAATACTTTAAATTTATGTGATCAATTGTGGCAGTGAAATAAATACCTGCTTTCTCTGAAGTTGTATTTTAATTCTATCTAACAAAAGCTGTCAGAAAACCAAAACAAGCAGTCTGCTTTTGTAGGTATTGCAAATACTGGAAATAGTACCAAACTACTGGATTTTATGTATAAACCAAGGTGCCTTTGTAGTTTTGGTAAGGTATCTGAATATTTTTTTCTGTTGCTATTAGTATAAAAGTACAGTTTTTAACAAGGTCGTTATACAGAAGGGTTATGCAAAATTCAAGTTTTCCATGTATGAGCCTGTTACATTTTGTTAGCATGGCAGATTAAGTTCAGCAATACTAAAAGAAAAAAACCAACTTAGAACAGTGCATGCATGAGCATCACTTTTTGAATATAGGAGAGATTACATTTATTATCAATAGGTATATTCCCTTGGACTTTTTCCTGACACAGGTTGGAGAGTCTACTGTATACGTGTGTGTGTGAGCTTTTAACAGCTTTCATGTGAATTTAGAGTCTTGATCCTCCCCTCGTGGTCTAAGTGACACAGCAGGAAACCCAACATGTACAAGCTGTTAAGCTGAATCCTAGTGCATTTAATGCAAAGCACAGCCCTGTGAGGACTGCTCAGGGGAAAATTAACTCCATCCTAGCCAGGCCCAGTACAGGTGCTTTTTTTCTCAGCTTCTAGTCTGATAACGTTGCACATGTTTTTGATGGGTAGTTAATGTGCTGTGGCTTCTTTTCAGAGGTAGTAGGATTAGTCTCATATATTTTTTCCCCCTCAACTGATAAGTTCTGTATACCTTTTGACAGGTAATCGGGAAGGATGATGTGGCTGTGCCATCCCACCTATACAAGGTGATCCTTGCCAGACGGAGCAGAACATCTACAGAGCCCTTGGTACTGGGGGCTTTTGTAGTGCCAAATGATCCCATAGGCTTCAGTCACCAGCTGCCTGAATTCCAAGTAAATATTGAAGATCTGGAAAAAATGTCAGGTTTAGTTTTCTTCCCCCAGGTGGACAAAACCAGAGATGTTAAAAATATCTGTGAGGTGGATACCTGTAAACTAATGGGCTTCAAGGAATTTACATTGTACATCACTGCTAGAAAAGTACAGAGTGCCCGTACATTGCACCGGTTGGAGAAAGTCATGTCAGAGTTAAGGGAGGCAGGAATTGAGCCTGATGAGTATCTTCTAAAGCTTCTCAAGAAGAAGGAAGAAGAACTACTGCAGGAAAAACAAGTCACAGCTAGAGAGGGGAAAACTGGCTGAGTACTTTTTCAAGAAGATGTTTGGGGTTTTATACTTTGAAAGGGCAGCTGAAGGCAAACACAGAGACAAGGGCTCTATGAATTATCCTTTTTTGAGTTGTGGAAACAATAAAGAAACATTTGGAAGATGGTGGGTTTGGAATAATACTTATTCTCATGTAACATGATGCACACATGTGATTTGCTGCAGTACTTTGCTGCAGTGAGAAATGAAAATGACCCCATTCTGGCATGAATACTTTACTGGACCTCCAGAAAAGGCTTTGTGCAATTTTCCAAGTGAGATATCAGACTTGGGGTTTGTATGGAATCCCTTCTAGGAATTTTATAAAAATAGATAGTAGGCACCTTGGGAGAACAATTGGAACATGTTTAAGTGTAATTCTACCTGCAAATGTCTTTCAGAATGATAGAGTGGAAGCAATGGTACTTTCTGGGATTTTTGTAAATGAAATTAATTTAGAAATATTTCATTTAACACTCTTTTATTAGAGAGCTGTAAGATATAATCGGAATCCCTTACAGTCTTCACACAGTGGTGTTAACCAAACCAGATTGTCTCTTACCTCTCCTGACCTCGTGTGCTTGGGGTATTTTCGCATGTCAGTAGCTGTCAGCTCTTGTCATTTGCAGCGGACTTCTTCCATTCATGTATAATTCTTCATTTAAAAAAAAAAAAAAACAAAAATAGAAGCAGAGTTTGCACAAGTTGCTATCAGGATCAATGGGTTCTTCATAAATTAACATAATCTTAATATTTTGCTTTCACCACTAAGTTTGGATAAGCGTGTTTTCTTTGATACTGCTTGATTTGAGAGGTGCACACTGCTTTCTTTTTGTTTGTGATTGTCACTCACTGTTTTTTAACCCAGCATCAGTCTTTGGTCTATAAATTTAGCAACAAAACTCCTTCGTGAAAGAAGACTGACTATAAATGCATTTCCAGTTCTGTTTCAGCAGCATCTGAAGTTTGTCAGATTTGCATCAGCTTGGGAGGCTTAATGAAGGGGTATTTTCATTAGTTTTGTACTTTCCTTGTGTGTACATCTTGAATTTTGGACATACTTGAATTTTGGACATAGATTAGACTTGTATCCTGAGACATTAAATCTGGAACAAAAGAGTAAAACTCTTTTAGAAATTTTAGTATATTTAGAATTTTCTTTTACTGGTATGACTCTTTGTAAATTTGGACTTGTGTCATAAAAACACCTTCAGTAGTCTTAGTGTGAGAATTAATGGTTTCTGAGAAGGATCATGTAGTGCCAGGCTGTTTTTATAAAGGATGAATCAGGAGCATCATTTGGATGTTGTGAATCATCGGCTGGATGCTATAAAAACTGTATGGTTTCCTTCATCTCAGTTTAGTTGCAGTATCCAAAAGTAGATCACTTTATAAAGCAGTTGTGGTTCCCATGACACTTTTGTGTTTGCCAAGAACATATTTACAAAATCCAAACACTTAAGACGAGAGAAATGTGACTAGCTAAGGACATCATAAAAGCTTACTGCCCACATAAATTAGGGAGAATTTGGGTGAAATCCTGACAAAACGTTTGCTCATTTCAATTTTAACCCAGAATTTTGGTTGTTAATCCTATCAAATGTGACAAAAACATTTGATCACAGAATGTAGGAGACGACTGTGTTGCCTGGAATAACAAAGTGCCGGATGCTTCGTCTGCCTCTTGATGGTCTTGCGTGTACTTCGCTGGAGTCCAGGCAGCCTTTTTGCACTGTGATGGTGTCACCCTTTGGAAAAAGAACCTTGTCATTGTTCTTTGCATTGTCTTTCTCCTTTCCCCATAATTTGAATTCTTTATGGGTTTTGATTCAGTCTTCCACCTTGTTTTATCTCTTGATCCTTTCAGCTGAGAGGTTGCACATCTCTCCTGCAAGGGCTCACACACACCTATGGACAGCTGAAACAATTCTCAGTGCTACAGATAACGTATCCATCTGTAGCAAAAAACTTCTTTTGGGACAGCACCAGTGGTATGCAAGGAACTCCAGGTATCCTTCCTTACCGCTACAGCTTGCCGTTAGGACAGCAGCAGTGTGACTGTCCTGTGGAGACCTGCTGCGGAGACCAGCTGCTTCCTAACTTGATACGTCCTTGGATCTTCTGTGCACTCCTGAATTCTTGCAAGCCCTGATTACCATAATTTTCATGCCTCATGGCTTAACACAGACTAGACGCCCTGTAGAACTGTCAGCTCTGTTTGAGCATGGTTGTTGTTCCTCAGCTCCCGTTGGAAGGTGGCAGCAGGTGGTGAACAGTGAAACCACTTCTAGCACTGCTGTGTGCCAAAGAGGACATTCACCTGCTCATCTTCTGCTGGTTTCCTCATCTAAAGTAACTGTGGACTCTAGCATATAGCAAATAAGTGTGCTTTCTTTACAAAAGGAAATGTAAGATGAGTAATAGCAAGGGGGTGAGGCTTTACAGAGTTGTTTGAACCACATTCGTAAGTTACTGCTTCAAAATCCTTGGTGAGAACTGTGGTTGTGTCTGTGTCCCTCTGTCATTCCTGTTGCACACTTAATCACATCCCTGCCTGCATCTGTAGTGACAATACAAACCCTTGTGAGACAGCTAAGCTACAGGAGTCCTGGATATGGAGAAGTTTCCCCCTTGTTCCTCCACTGTTTTAATATGTTTGGGTTTAAAGCTAAATAACTGAATAGCAAGGGATATTGACAACCAGTCTGTCCACAGCCTGATACAGTGATTTTCTGATACTCCCTTGACTGTCTAGTCCTGATTGTTACTGCTCATCTTGAATCGGGGTGAAAGTGATGATAAATGGGAGACAGAAGGGAACGCAGGGGAGAGCTGCCGTGATGGTCAAGGATTTTGGGCTGCAGGCAACCGTCTCCGCTCGGTGCATTGTTGGTATTTGGCCTTTTGAGGGCAGACTGCTTCCACCGTGTCGGCCTTGGTGGACAAAAATGGTGGGGGATATGAATCAAGTGTCTCTGGCCCATAATAACTGTCTTTTTGCTGGTGATACTAAGATACCCATTTAAAATGAATTGTTGTTTGGAGTGTTGTATTGACAGTAGTGGAGTATGAAGCTAATGATTTTTCCTAGATAAGGGTTTTGACAATGAAAGTGCCTTTAGATTGACCACATAAGTTATGTATCTGCTCCCAAGACAATTTTGACTCCAGCTTCTTCATGAATCTCATCATAGGTGAGAATTTATCCCTGTACTGATGTCTTGTAATGCTGTTGGTTTGCATCTGTAAACAAAATTGGGGGGGGGGAGGGATTTAAACTTCTGCTCTCCCTCAGTTCACTTCAGAGCACCGTTTTGCAATTTTCAGTTTGCCATGTAGGAGTAAAGATGAGTGTCATTAGCAAGTTGTAAGTGCTGCACTAACCTGTGGAGAAAGAATCCTTGTCCTGGAAAAGTAACGTGTATTAGATAACAACAGGCAACAGCTGAAAGGGGAGAAGATAACACACCCAGAAATTTGACTGTTTTCTTCATCAAAAGGCTTCAGAGGTGATGCAACCCACCTTGAGCGTTCTTTACATGACTGGAGTCATCTCCTTGACAGAAACATTCAGATGTCCTGTAAAATAAATGGAGGCAAGTAAGTAACAAATACCAGGATTTGCAGAAGCTGCTAATCTGGCCAGCAGTGATTGCTGGAGGTTGGCACTGGGTTTCTCCAGGGCGGGGTCAGTCATTAGCCTCTTTTTTTGGAATTGGTTAGACAAGGTAAACCTCCTCCATCAAAAACTATTAAATAGAGGAGCCTTTCAATAGGGAAGAGTGGCTGGAAAGGTGCCCAGGAAAAGGACGTGGGGGTGTTGCTTGACAGGTGGCTGAGTATGAGCCAGCATGTGCCCAGGTGGCCAAGAGGGCAAACAGCATCTTGGCCTGTATCAGCAACAGTGTGGCCAGTAGGGCCACGGCAGTGATGATCCCCCTGTACTTGACACTGATGAAGCTGCACCTTGAATACTGTGTTGAGTTCTGGGCCCCTCACCGCAAGACATTGGAGCATGTCCAGAGAAGAGCACTGAAGCTGGTGAAGGGTCTTACGAGGAGTGGCTGCGAGAACTGGGGTTGTTTAGTCTGGAGAAAAGGAGACTTAGGGGGTACCTGATTGCTCTCTACAAACTGCCTGAAAGGAGGTACTAGCGAGGTGAGTGTTGGTCTCTTCTCCCAGTTAACAAGTGATAGGACAAGAGGAAATGGCCTCAGGTTGCACCAGGGGAGGTTTAGATTGCAGCTTAGGAGAAACTCCTCCACCGAAAGGAATTCCTTCCCTAAATCAGAGCTGCTTCAAGATAGGACAGCAGAGGAACAGGAGCGGTTTTTTTGGTGGCAGCTTGCGGAGAAGTGGGTACCTCTGGTACTGTAGTGCCTGGTCTCTTTGTGTTTAACCTGTGCCAGTCCGTGTGAAGAAAACCCCAAACTCTCCTGTGCCCATCCTGGTCCTGTGTGCTTGTTGCCCAGCAGTGAAGATGTGGAGGAATTGTATATAAATCACAAAGTGCTCTTGCTAGTAACATGGCTCAGTGGGGAAGTGAGGAGCTATTTTGCTGTTATTTTTGAACTGTCTTCTCCAGTCACACGGGAAAAGCTTTTCTCACCGTGTAGCAAAGGAAATGTAGGAAGTGTTCCTTTTTTTTCTTTCTGATTCAGGTCCGTCTAATCAGCTCCACCTACACAGTGATGGAGTAGCCAGTTCTCACATGCTTTGTAATAGCCATCTGCCTGTGCAATTAATGGCTTGTCTGCTTTTGCCATAGCTTGGAGGAAAAGACTGAACAAGAGCTTTATGTATTTGCTTAAAGTATCTGTGTGGATGCTCTGGGCTGGATACCCAGCAAGGGCTATGAATAACCCGCACTTTCCTGTGTTGTAAAATATTACAGAGCAACTGGCCTTTTCCGTCGCGCCCTACAAACAGGGCAGGTTTCCCACCTGCCGTGTGAAAAATTAACAGCTGTGGCAACATAATGCTCCCAAAATACTTGCTTTCAAGATCTGAACAGGAGGCTTTTGATGTTGGTTTGAGAGGTACGATGGCTGGCATCCCGTCTTTCCCACCGGTGCACTGAGCAGTTCAGGAAGGATGCAGCAAACAGGTCTGGAATAAAGTGCTTCCAATTCTGCT